TTCCTCAGATTTAGAAAAACAAAGCTGGGCTTGGAAAGTAGAAAGCTATTACTCATGTCATGCACATCCTAACCTTTTAATACTCACTGCACATTTTGTGCAGTTTCCTAGGAACACAGAGGGAAATTGATGTGTAATATTACAAGTCCTCAGGGTCTTCTGCTTCCAAATGTTTTTGTATTAGGTTTTAGCCAATTATTGATTTTTCTCACATATTTAGTAGTGTTATTGTTAATTTTTTGTTACCATAAAATGAAGTCTTTGTTCTTTTGCCGGTCTAAAAAAATCAACCTGTGGGGTAGGCCTGCCCTGATACCATTCTAACTGATAGACAGGAATTCTGTGACCATCTGTAAAAAGATACATATTAAACCCCACAGTTTTTGTTAAGTCTATATGAGCTAAAGGGTAAAAAAGTCTTATTTTTGAATGTGGAGTATTTTTTTTTTAAATTAGAATCACACTACCTGGACTTCCATAAGGCCTTTGACACTGTCTGCCACTGCATCCTGATGAAAAGCTGGCTGTTCTTGGCTTGGATGGGCGCGGGCTCTGCTGGGTTAAACACTGGCTGAAGGGCTGGGCTCAGAGAATTGCCCAGCAGAGAGGGACCTGGGAGTCCTGACTGATGCTGTTGAACATGAACCAACAGTGTGCCCAGGTGGCCAGGAAGGCCAATGGCATCCTGGCCTGCATCAGGTATAGTGTGGCCAGCAGGAGCAGGGAGGTGAGCATCCCTCTGTACTCAGCACTGGTGAGGCCCCACCTTGAATGTTGTGTCCAGTTCTGGGCACCTCAATACAAGGGCATGGAGGTGCTGGAGCACATCCAGAGAAGGGCAACAAAGCTGGTGAAGGGCCTTGAGACCAAGTCTTATGAGGAGGGGCTGAGGGAACTGGGATTGTTTAGTCTGAAGAAAAGGAGGTTGAGGGGAGACCTCGTTGCCCTCTACAACTGCCCGAAAGGAGGTTGTGCAGAGGTGGGTGCTGGTCTCTTCTCACGAGTAACTGGTGATAGAACAAGAGGGAATGGCCTCAGGCTGCACTAGGGGAGGTTTAGAATAGACATGAGGAAGAACTTTTTCACTGAAAGGGTTGGCAGACATTGGAACAGGCTGCCCAAGGAGGTGGCTGAGTCACTATCTCTGGAGATGTTTAAAAGGTGTCTAGTTGTGGTGCTGGGGGACATGGCTCAGTGCTGGACTTGAGAGAGCAGGGGTAATGGTTGGACTCAATGATCTTGAAGGTCTAAGTGATTCTGTGATTCTATCATTCTACTCCTACTCCTTAACAGAAAGACTGCAAAAGTATTTGAGGCATTTTGACAGTGTTTTCACTGCTTCAAGAGCAGTTGTCAGTTATAAAAAAATTCCCTTTAATTCATTCCAGACTACAGGTTACCAGTGGCAAGGGCCAAAGAAGGCACTCAGGAGGAAAGCTTACTTGGAGAAGACAAATAAAACGAGGAGGAAACCATCCTTTCACTGACAGCCAGCACAGGAGATGCCTTCCCTTCACTGCTGTTAGATGTGAAAAGGCCCAGTTTAAATACTGCCTGATCCAGACTCAGCTCAGCAGGAGCTCTCCGCAGGTAAGGAAGTTTCCTGGGGATCTAGCTGTATAGTACACTCATGTTGAAGTGCACTGAAGTATTTCAAGAACTTATCCACTTCCTTAAACTAAAGGGAATTGGTGATTTCCTAACCTACTGGGTACTTTTAAAAAGATCTCCATGAAACTGTAGGGTTATGGACAAGAAGGGTCTGACCATGCATTACAGCAGGAAAGAAATGGACAATAGTACAGACTTTTTGTGAACCAAAACTATGCATTAAATCTCTAGTTAAGTTTGTAAAATGATTTGATTAAAATATTTGTAACATCTCATAATGCTATAATAATTTCCACTGTAATTTATGCAACAAATTCCATCCATATCAAAAAATACCATCTATGTAAATGCTTTTTTATAAAACTTTATACAACTCAAGCTCTCATTAGTAGGTAAGGCTACACACAACTCTCACCATCATCCAGGTAGAAAGTCTTCAGCAAAGTGTATTTTCAGAGTGCAGGAACGACAACACTTCCATCCACCTTCCCTTTTGACCACCAGTTCTGCTAAACCAAATTCTTATTGCTTAAAATCAAAACAGAGGGGTTTCACCAACAGCAGCACTCGGATACACCACAGCAGTCTAGGGAAGGAACCTGCTTCCAGCTTTCATTTTATGGGACAGAAACACCTATGAGCCTGGTTACCATTTCCATAAAGGTTTCCACGTAACTGTCACCTGTCCTGGAGGCTGCGCACAGAACAAAAGAGGCATCACTGGGAAGGAGGGAGATGGATGGTAATGCATGGGTTTAGTGTCCAGTGTCTCCCTCTTCACTTTGCTATTAATTCTGCAATCTGTTTAATAATTTCTGTGAATGCATCTCGAACTAGAACTGAAAACAAACTCAACAGGTACAAGACACTTCAAACACCAAATCTAAAATGTGCAAGAACAATGTGAATATAACACCTTGGCAGGCATAAATTCACAGCTGCTACTGTGCCAAAACACCTCTACAGCAAGCTTTATTTACACTACTTCCAATTAAAAATACTGTTAATCTCTCAAGCTAAATTTTAAATTAAAACAGAAATACATCCATTAGTAACTACCGGTAAAAAACCATGATAAAATTCTTTTACTCTTTTTTTTTTTTTATTCAAAATATTCTGACAGTTTAACAATATTCCAGGTGCATTACAAACACTGCCATAGTCAGCACAACAACCAATACTTCAAGAGCATTCAAACACTGCAGACATGTATCTTAAAGCAGAGACAGGAGAACACACTTACACTGAGAGCAAACTGATCATTTTCCAATCACTGACTTCTTTGAGGCAGCTGGTCTGATTTCTCCAGCACAAAATGGATTAAAATCCAGAAGAGATGAATTACAGAGGACAAAACAACTCTGATTTATAAATGTTTCCCCTCGTGTTTTCTATAAAATATGGTGAATTTATCCTACAAGGCCACTGCCAGCCTGAACTGCTCTGGTGTTGGCTATTTATGGGATAGAACAACAAAATCATAACAGAGAAACCAGCATCAAAGCAAACAAAAGCACAAACTCTTCCCAGAATATGGCTTAAATTAGTTCACAGAGAGTCGGGAATATATTAACTATATGTTGCAACAGAAATACCAGGTAGAACAAAAAATAAACTGCTTTCCCCTCCTGACATTTTCCCCTCAACCTTCACCACCATTTGCATAAAATGTTCAACAAAATGACACTGCCCCTCCTGCCAGAGTCCTTTCCCACACTTCAAAGACATTCTGTCTCTAAGAGATGGGTGTTATTCTTGATTATATTGGCCAATATTAGTTCTAAAGGTTAAACAATGTTGTTCTACACATAATACCCTGTTTCTTCCAATTAATCCAGGTTCTCAAAGAGCTAAAATCTCAGCTTTGTTTAAAACAGCCTGTGTTTGGAAAAGAATTGATCTCTTTCTGATATAGAAAATCGATGTCAAACTGAGAACTTGCAAAGATGTGTACGCGAGTGAGTGCATAGTGCAGAACATCATACAGAGAGAGCAGCAAAAGGTCACAGTGCCAGAGTGAGTCCACATGTCAAAGACGTCTGTTTCCAATGACCAAGTCCAGTCTAAAAAGTTGTATTTCTGGGGCTTGCTTCAAGCAGGAAAATCTGTCATGACTTTTCCTATAGCTGACTATACAGACATGGCAGGACAACCACAGACAGGGCATACAGAAGAGACACACCAAAAGTGCTTTGGATACATCATCCTGATCTCAAATATTCCATAGGAAAGCTTGACATTTTCCCATGAAAAAGAAGGAATTGGGACAATTTTCCAATTACACAGCTTGCCTGCGTGTTGTTAAAAAATAACAAACCAAAAGAGCTGAACGTAGGACTTCAAGGCCAGGGTAAGAGAGCCACAGCTCCACTGTGACCAACAGAGGGACATCTGGTTGCTCCAGGGCTGGAAAGAAACTTCTCTTGGCAGGAGAGAGTTCTTCACCTGTAGAGCTCGTTGGTTCCAGTCGGTGCTCCCCAGCAGTGGAAGTGTGGATACAAGCAGCAGACAGCCAGAAGAAATCTCTGTATGCTTACTCAAAATGCTTTGTTTCCCCATTCAATTGGTTTGCTTCTAAAAGCTATGTTTTTGGAGAAGGGCCATCAGAACAAAGGAGTGAGGCATCTCCCTTAGTCACAACATCAGACATTCCATTAACAGATTGACTTAATCTTCTAAACCAAACGAGTTCCTGGAATATCTCACGCTGGCATTTTTTACTCTTTCTTAGGAATAAAGTTTCTCTAGCAGTTGTGCAGTTTAAGCCTGTCACAATATTTTACTCCAGCATTTTCTTAGCACCTCAACACAAAAAAAGGTTGTAGCTTGTCAGGGGTGAACATGGGCTAGGGACAGCCACCCCAGGGCTGAAACAACATCGTCCCGTGATGCTGAAAAGCACTTTTCATTCACTGGCTTCCAGGTTAGACTACTGACTCAACACGGGATTTCTCTCCAAATAGGGTTAACTCCAGTTATTTGAATGCAGTAAACACAAGAGGGCAGTACTGAGGACATCAATCCTGCACGGCAGTTTTCAGTCCATTTTCTAAAAACCCTGATGATGGAGAGAGGGCTCAGTGTCAAGGCCAGGTGGGCAAACGGGATCTAGGCTAAAGTCGTCACGGGAACTAACGTCACCCTTGCTTACTGTACAACTGTACTCCTTGGACATAAGCCAACCATATACATTTCATCCTACTAATTCACCTATCCTGCTTCATCTCCAGTATCTCAATCCTTTCACACTCCCTAATTAGCTATCAATTATTTTCCTGAGTGAGATTATAAAAAGTTAAACCCTTCTACCAAAAGTACAAAGACAAAATATAGAACAATACAAACCCAGTTATACAGCATTATAAGTGCAGAAATTCTTCATGTTGTTGCTCTTCTTTATCATTGGCCCCCCAGTAAAAACCATAGCAAAGAATTTAGTTATCCAAAATATTTTGAAGTACAGTGATTAGATTCTTCAGGCCATAAATGTAGCCCTCATCCTTCGTGTTGCTAGGGAACACATGAGCAAAATCTATCATCCGGACTTCCACATTCGGGCTTTCCTTGATCTCTGCTGGCATGTGACAGAAAACTTTTTCCAGTTGGGGTATAACGTTCCCATTCAGGTGCTCCTGGGTGATGCACGTGCTGCTTTTCCACATGTTGCCCTGCTCCAAGTTTTCAACTTTTAGAGAGAGCTGACTGGGGTGCCTCTTAGAGTATGCCTTTTTGTGAAGTGCATAAAATTTGGACAAGCCTTTACTTACAGAGGCCTCGATTTTTCCATTCTCGGTCGCATTGATGAGGTGAATATTATTATTATACTCCAGTATGTCTCCACCTGACAACAGTCCTTTGGGCACTCCTCTCTTCTCTGCCAAGGTGACATCGCTCAGCCGCACAGTTGTTGCCTGACAGGAACCCTCATAAACAAAGAGTAAGGAGCTTGCGTAAAAGTTGAGTTGCTTCTGGCCCTCAAACCACTCCAAAATCTTTCCAATCTTCTGGATGCTGGCAGCTATGGCATCTTTTCTCAAGCAGTATCCATTGTGGAAAAACGTGGAGATGCCTGCAAGAAATAAGACCAAACTTTGGGATTCTTTTCCAACATTTTTAATGAGAATAGTTCTTGCTTTGAAGGAACAGCCAGGATTCACTTAGTTTCCTTCCAGGCTAATTAACACTAGCAGAAGTGAACTGAGAAACTCTGATACCTGCAGTCACCTCACCTGGGTAAGGGTACAGTTCCACAGATTTGGCTTGGAATATCAATCCAATTAACTAACTAATGTATTGTTCAAACAGTAGAGGAACATGGTTCCTGCTCCCCAGGTAATTTTAGTAAGTATCTGGACAGTTTTGGGCAGGGACACATTAAACACTCCAGGCATAAACAGGCCCAAGCAGCTCTTTATCGTGAGTGCCAGAGCTGACAAGTCAGTGCCAGCTGTGGAGAGAGGTGTGTCCATGTGTGTGTGTCCTTCTGTCCCTCAGTGCAGGACAGACAGACATCATTTAATAATCAATTTAAAATACTTCACCACCACCCGACGGCCATTTGATGGCAGTGTTTTCATTCCTTTTAATATAGAGCAACAAAGGGATTTACTTCAACTGAGAAGGTTGCTTAAAAGCAAAGATAAACAAATAAAGAATATCCAAGAGCACCAAAATCTGACATGCGAATTCCCTCACCGTCCTTCACTGTTTCCTTTGTCAAGCTCCTTCCATAGTGCTGGTTTTGTGTCTCGTAGCTGTCAGAGGTGACGTGGTAAACCTGCAAGAAACAAGGAGGCAAGTCTACTCATTTTGAACAACCAGACAACTTTCAGACAAGCTACAAAATCTTTGGGACCATTTAGTCCTTGCCCAGCTTCAGGGGACTTGTGTGCCCTCTACTGCTTCCAGCTGCAAAACCCTCTCCTGTCCCATCTTGGGGCCCAAGCTCCAGCTTTCCTGCATTTGAAAGACATCATTTTGCTGGCAAAAAGCAACTAAGTCCTATGGAAAAACATTTTATATGGCACCTGCCTTGCAAATCATAGAATCATCATAGAATGGTTTGAGTTGGAAGGTATCTTAAAGATCATCTAGTTCCAACCCCCCTGCATGGGCAGGGACACCTCCCACCAGACCAGGTTGCTCCAAGCCTCATCCAACCTGCCCTTCAACACTGCCAGGGATGGGGCAGCCACAGCTTCCCTGGGCACCCTGGGCCAGGGTCTCACCACCCTCACACTAAAGAATTTCCTCCTAATGTCTATTCTCTTCCAGTTTTCACTCATTACCTCTTGTCCTCTCACTACAAGCCCTTGAAAAAAGTCCCTCCCCAGCTTTCCTGCAGGCCCCTTGAAACTGTCAGACAACTACCTGTGTTACCCTCAATATCAAATCAGTTAGACTTAACAAGCTCAAAAATTCCATGCCAATCATTTTGCAGCTCTTAAAACTCTAAAAATATTTAGCACAACAGCAAAAACATAAGAAATATACGATGTGACCAGGAAGGCCCAGCTCCATGAGACCCATCTGAAACTATATTCATTGGCAGGAGTGAGGTTAGGCTAAACACATGAAAGCAGTGGAGTGAAAGCTCAGTTCCAGCCCTGACAGTGGCACATCAGCTCTTGCCTGAAAGGGAGGCAACTTACACGGGTCCAGTTTTGTCCATATCAGGAATTGTACAAGCTTCACAACTTAATTTAAAAAAAAAAAAGTTTTACATAGAGACACAGTTTCTCTCTGACTGAAATAATTTCCATAGCAGAAACATGCCCCCCAGCCATAATTTGTTTATGAGAGTGTAGACAATTCTTATTTGCAGAAATACTGGTGTTACCAAGCAGGCAGCTGTCTCTGGCAGAAACTCTGCACTTGGCACTTGTTCAGACCACCCAACCCTGCAGCACCCATCCCAGCTGCAGTTCTCTGCCCTCCCTTCACCCCCCAAGGAAAAGAGAGGATCCCATGGAGAGCAAGCTGGGATGCACCCGTGACGCACCTGCCCCTGGCCCCTTCTGTGGGGTCTTTTTTGTGCTGTAGCCTCCAGAGACAGTCCAGGACAGTGAAACAGCAGCACACAAAAAGGGAGTGGTAACCTGAGCTATAACTAAAAATTAGCATTCTGCTGCCGTGGCAGCCCCCCACCCCAAAACCTCTCTGCCCCACCCAAACCACAACGAGCACAAGGATTTGTCACTCCTGCTTTGCAAAGTAGCAGGGAAGAAAAGTCTCAAACTGCTCTTGTTTTGACAAAAAATAAATTCAGGGTCCTCAAGGAAATTAAATCCTAGTGTGTGGGAATGGATTTAAGGCATCAACTATGAACTGAAGGGGCAGTAAATAATTCTGGTTATTCTAAAGAAACAGCAGTTGTAAGTCTGAATGTTTCAAAGCAGCTGGTAGTAGAGACAATTCCCACTTTTATTATTCTTATTTTCTCTGCTATGATACTTACAGAAACTGAGGCCCTGATGTCTAAAACTGCAGAAAAGCACAGCAGAGGTGAGTTATTCTAAAACATCATCTGGCAACTTTGGTGTTGGTTTCATAAAAACAACCATTTTTCACCACTTTTTTTTCCCCCAAAGCACACAGAAGAGGCAGGCACACAACAGGTAAAACCAGAGGTTTCTTAGTAAATACTTCCATTACCAAAGTTACTTTCAAAAGCACCCAAAAAGTTTCATAACCTTTCTGAAGAGCAACAAGCAAAAAAACAATAAAGGAAGAATGAAAAAAACCCCACATGCATAGGAAGAGGATCAGGAGTCTGATAATTACATCTAAGTTTTCACTAGCTGTGGCTTTGTTTTAATAATTCTAAATGTTCTCATTTCATCAGCCTACGAGCAGTTTCCTCCATACACCAGCACTGCAGCACACTGCTGGAGGAATCATCTTGTTTACCAGAACCTTATCTCTTCCTCCTAGGAACCAACAGTTTTTGTGACATGGGCACTTGCTCAAAAGTGCTGATTAAGATCTGCAAGCTCATTTTGTTTTCTAAAGAAACGCTGGAGCAGCACATAAGCCCCCTCTGAGCTGGATTTCCCATGAAGCCACTCTACCTGTTTTCATTTGCCCAACATTATTCTTCCCCAACAAAGCCTTTCCATGTAGTTCCAAAATACCCAGACTGAGTGTTTTTAACTACACAAAAAGGTTGATGACAAACTACCAACTCTTACATAGGTTCCAACAGAGTAATGTGTATATTTACCTGCCCTGTGAACTAGCAAAGACACAGAACACCCTTGGTGACTGATGGGCTTGGCTGCAGACAATAGCACTAAGGGCAACATATCTAGGTGAACAAGAAACTTTCCTCCACGTTAGCCAAAGAGCTCTCTCAATACTGCTTCAAACCTTCTCTCAACTTCCAGGAACTATTTCAAACATTCCTGGAAAACCTCAACCACATCCAAATTCATTAAGCACCCTACTGAAAGCAGAGGAGCAGAAACCCAAGTTCAAAGAGCAATCATCTTTCACCAGCTCTTGCCTCTCCCTCTCCAGCCCTCTCAAAACAGAAGGGGAGGCTCTGCTGTAGTAGCAGAAGACTAAAATCAATTTCCTAGTCCTCACCTCTTGCTTCCTTGAGCATTTGTTCACACCATCACTGCTACTACTCTGCTACTACCCCTTCCCAAAAGGACACCTGCCTTTAAAGCAACCTTTTTGTGTATCCCTGTCCCTGCAGCTGCCTGCACTAGCCCATTGCTGTCAAAATAAGGACAAGTCAAACATGTAAAATCCATGTTTGCTTTGGATTCACAAGGAGTTTCACTGCAAGGAAAACTCCCCAGATTACCTGCAAAACATTGTCTTAGGAAAGCTCCTGCTTCAGCAGAGATTTGTATACGTTCTCACTACACAAGCTCAGAGCTGTTGGGCTGACAATGCAGAGGCTCCTCCTTGTGCCCACAAGCAGCTCCCACTTGTTGAGGTCTCAGCATGAACAAAACTGGAAACCCAGGGTGCTCACAGGTTCAGGTTTGCCAAGAGTAGTAACAGGGACACTGTACATCCAAAAAATCCAGATCATTAACTGCTGAGGGAAATTCTCTTCGAACTTTCTCAACATGCTCTTGGCTTTTGGAAAAAAAAAAAAAAGCCTAACTCTCCTAAGAGATGGGGGTAGGACTCAATGATCTTCAGAGGTCCCTTCCAACCCCTAATATTCTGTGATTCTGTGAAGATCTCAACAGCAAGATACAGAGTTTGGAAACCCTGCACCTGCAGCTTTAAGAGTTAAGCTGAAGCCTGGATGCAGAAAAACAAATATGAGATGTTATGTAATGTTATTTATGGTCATTCAGTGCTGACTTCCAGAAAAATACACACACTGTTCAAATACCTTATCTGCAGCAACTCCCTAACTTCCAGAAAGTGTAATTTAAATATGTATTAATTAAGACTGGGCTGTTTGGTGGAGATACTGCTATCAGAAACAAAAATCTCCATGAAAGGGCTCACCAGCCTCCTCCACATCTGCAGAAAAGATTCATGAATTCTCATCGCTGAAACTGGAAAACACCTCTTGTGAACAGGCTGGGGCAGCACAACAGAGCCTGAAGAGCAAAGGCCAACTCCACAGCACACATGATGTGGATCCCTTGCTGCTGGCATTCCCATGCACTGGCTGGTGGCTGGGAAGCAGCTTCCCACTGAGCTCCCAGTGCCCGTCCCTGCTCCCCTGCAAGGGCAGCCCAGGACCTGCTCTTGTGAGCAAGGACAGGGAGATTAGAGATAACACACTCTGATGCCCAGACATCCTGGCTCCAAAGGGCTGGGCTGCCCACCCCTCAACTTCTTTCCATAAATATACTCAAGTCACCCGTATCTTACACTTATGTAGGTAAGAGAGAGAGAGTGTTTAAGTATCAGTTTCCTGTTTACAGCAAGGCCCCTCTGTGCTCCTCACTGGCACTTGAAGGTCAGTCCCAGCCTGCTGCCCAACACGAGCCAAGCCAAGAGCAGGGTGGGCAGGCAGTGCCCAGCCAGCCTGAGGACACCCAGCATCAGGCCACGACCTGGAGGGGACAACTCCAGTGCCAGGCTGAGCCCCATGCCATTACTGGGCACCTGCTGCCCAGACCCCATCATTGTCCCTATAAAAATATACAGGTTCCCTTCATGCCTGATGAACCCAGGTTATTCTGCAGTCCTGTGACCTCTCAGGGACTCATTCTGCCCCAGCAGAAGACTGAAACACTGGGCTTTAACAAGACTTATTCCTTCCTTTTCTGAAAGAAAGTAAAACTAGGATTTCAAGAAAAAATTATAAAGGAGACATACTTTAAAATACATTATCTTATTTGACACTACTGCTTTATATGAATGCTGTAACACTAGCACTGCTACTGAGAGTGAGTCCACTTATCTAAATACATGTATCTAAAGACCTCCCCCCCTTCCTTTTTATTGTCTTTTTTAAAAAAACTTTATGTTGCTGTTGCTGGACCACAAGTGATGAAAGTACACATATCCCTGCTCGCTGCTGGCTTGAAAACTCAGCACAGGAGGGATGCATCCCTGTTCCCCTGTTTCTAAGACTACACTTACGTATTTCATATATATATCTATATATATGGAGGAAATTCTGGAGTGTGAGGCTGCTGAGACCCTGGCCCACGTTGCCCGGAGAAGCTGTGGCTGCCCCATCCCTGGAAGCGTTGAAGGGCAGGTTGGATGGGGCTTGGAGCAACCTAGTCTGGTGGGAGGTATCCCTGCCCATGGCAAGGGGGGGTTGGGATTAGATTATCTTTATGTCCCTTCCAACCCAGACCAGTCTGGGATTCTATGATTTTATCTGTTCTGCTTCTTTGTTCTTCTGGTATTTGACAAAGTGCTTTATAGGATGAAGTGTTACCACCAGCTGCTTTGACAAGCAATACAAAGCTTTAGGAAGGTCCTTACATAAATAAATTGTACAACAAAAGTGCACTGAAACTAATTCAGTGAAAAAGTAAACTAATAATCTCCTAATAAGAGAAACAAAGACCCTGCTGATAAATCATGAACCATTTAAAGAACAGTTTAATACATAACTTTGGACTCCCAGAACTTCCACTGAGCATCTCATGAGAACAGATTTCTTTTATGTCTCCTTTTTATATAATATGGAGGAGTGGGGAAAGAGGCCATCTCATCTCACCCATCATCACCTTCTTCCTGACACACATCAGATCTTTTCAGGACACAAGAGGACCAGCTGTCCTATATATGA